GCACAGATGCCCTGGTGAGGCTGTGGGTGCAGGTTACGTAGATGCAGGTTGCCGCCATCAACGGTACGGTTGTTGTTTTCAGGCACGAGGGTTGCAGTGTACGACATCATCTCAACGCCACCGGCAACACAGAGCTCGTCCATGCCACTCATGATATTTGCCGCAGCGAGGTTCACCGAGGTGATGCCCGAGCCACAGAAACGGTCCAAAGTGACAGCACTGGCGTTTTCGCTCCAGCCAGCGTCAAGCGCAGCCATGCGACCCACACAGGAACCTTGTTTACCCACTTGAGAGCTGCAGCCGACAACCACATCGTCAATGTCTTCGGTGTTCAGGCTGTTGCGCTCTGCAATGCCTTCAAACACTTTGGCCAGGAGACGGCTGGGATGAAATTCAGATAGCGCACCTTTACCTGCTTTGCCTATCCCACGTGGCGTGCGCGCGGCATCAATGATGTATGCATCAGTCATAGGTTCCTCTTCTCAGGCATAAACATTTGGTCCGACAGTTTAGCGGAAAACAGGTAAAAAATAGACTCTGGGTGATACGACGCTTTGTGATGTTGGATATCTGCCCAGGCGCACCTTAAGATCGGGGAACAATCCCCCTGCAGGCAGCATCGGTGACAGAGTTTAACCAACCATTAGGTGGCAACGACATGCCACGATTTGGCGGACCGGCAACGATGTTCCGGCTGCCCACAGCACCAGTAAGTGCAGCACTGGATATAGGCATTATTGGTGTACCGCTGGACTGTGGCACAAGTAACAGAGCGGGTGCGCGTTTTGGCCCGCGGCAGATCCGCGCCGAGTCGGTGCTGGTGCGCCCCTACAGCATGGCGACGGGTGCTGCGCCGTTCGACAGTCTGCAGATTGCTGACGTGGGTGATGTTGCTCTGAATACTTATAACCTGGCGGCTTCAATCAGTTTGATCGAACGCCACTACTCAGCCTTTGTTGAGGCGGACGTAAAACCACTTTCCATGGGCGGCGATCACACCATTACCCTGCCCATACTGCGCGCATTACATAAACAGCACGGACCTCTGGCCGTCGTGCACGTTGATGCACATGCTGATATGAACGACACAATGTTCGGTGAGCGCGAAACCCACGGCACGGTATTTCGCCGCGCTTTGGAAGAAGGATTGATCAACCCCCATAAAATGACGCAAGTTGGTTTGCGGGCCACCGGCTATGCAGCTGAAGATTTTGATTGGGCGCGGCAGCGTGGGGTTGAGGTTGTGCAAGCCGAGGCCTGCTGGTACCAGTCTCTTGCGCCACTGATGCATAGTGTGCGCCAGCGTATAGGACCCTCTACACCGACCTACCTGTCTTTCGATATTGATGGTTTAGATCCGGCAGTGGCGCCCGGTACGGGCACGCCTGAGCCTGGCGGGCTAAGTGGATCACAGGGGCTGGAGATTATCCGCGGTATCTTTGGCCTTAATCTGATTGGCGCTGATCTGGTTGAAGTGTCGCCACCCTACGATACCAGTGGCAATACCAGTCTGCTGGCTGCAAATTTATTGTTTGAAATGCTGTGTAGTTTTCCAGGCTGCGAACGGCGCACGTGAAACGATATCCTCACCTATCGAAACAACTGAGAAATACATTCAAGCCGCCCAGCTCTGATAATGCAGTTTATGGAGAGTTATCGGATAATTTTTGCCTTGGGGTTGGCGTTTGCAGTGCATGTAGTGGCGCTCTGGTGGTGGTCTGAAAGACCCGTTGTAGAACACAATAAGTCTGCGGCTACGATTGAACTGGTACTCACCCAGATCTCGCGCCCTCCTGAACTTGTGCAACCTGATCAAGCGGTTGAAGAGGTCGAGGACGGTGAGATCCTGCCAGACCCGGGTGGTGCGATGCCACCTGAACCTGCTGTGATATCTCAACCCGCCGCTTCGATGGAAGCCACCCCTCCTAGCCTCGATCTGACACGTCCTGATAATTGGGCTGAAGTGGCGCCGATGCCTGATAGCGCTGAAGGATTTGTGCGGGCATTTCGTGGTGAGTTTTACCAGAGACTCGAGCAGCGCCAGATATCCCAGGCGCGTAGTCAGTTTCTGTCCGGGCGCCGCGTTGCTCAACGTGGCTTGCCTGCTGATCAGTATAATGCGTTGGAACAACCCGGCTCAGGTCACTATAAAACCGCTGCAGGGTGTTTTGATCTGAAGCCGGATATTGTTGGCACCATCGGCGGTGGTCAGCGCGCCTGGATGAGCGCCTGTAAAGATCTGATCCGGTCACCGTTTGAGCTGCCGTCTGTTGAGTTTGATGCCCTGGGTCGAGCGGTTGGGCCCTGATCTAATTGTTCTATACGACGTACGACCAATGTATGCCGCAAAACGTTTTGCAGTCATACTGACACGAACTTCGACTGCAGTTAAAAAAAGAGGAGATGGCAGCTTTGAATGAATTGGGTGGGTTTGGCATGGCTGCGATTGCCATTGCTGGTCTGGTGCTTCTGTGCATCTATCTGGGTGTGCGTATAGTGCCGCAGTCAGAAAAGCATGTGGTTGAACGGTTCGGCCGGCTCAGAGTGGTTTTAGGCCCCGGCATTAACCTGATTGTGCCTTTTCTGGACAGGGTGGCGCATCAGGTATCGATTCTGGAACGTCAGTTGCCCACGGCCAGTCAGGATGCCATCACGGTGGACAACGTTCTGGTAAAAGTGGATACCAGCGTTTTTTATCGCATTTTAGAACCTGAAAAAACCGTTTATCGGATACGTGATGTGGATGGCGCTATTGCCACAACCGTTGCAGGTATTGTGCGTGCGGAAATTGGCACCATGGAACTGGATCAGGTGCAATCGAACCGATCTGAGCTTATCGACACGATAAAATCCAGTGTGGAAGAAGCGGTGGATGATTGGGGAATCGAAGTCACCCGTGCAGAAATTCTGGATGTGAATCTGGATCAGGCGACCCGGGAAGCCATGTTGCAGCAGCTCAATGCTGAACGGGAACGTCGTGCTCAGGTCACCCGGGCGGAGGGCTCAAAGCGGGCAGTTGAGCTCAACGCTGATGCAGAGCTTTATGCCGCTGAACAAACCGCTAAAGCGCGTCGGATTGAGGCAGATGCCGAAGCCTATGCGACAGGGGTTGTTGCGCAAGCCATTCAAAGCAACGGCCTGGAAGCTGCCCAGTACCAGGTGGCCCTGAAACAGGTTGAAGCTCTGGTTGCCCTGGGCAGTAGTGCGTCCAGTCAGACGGTAGTTGTGCCGGCTTCTGCGCTGGATGCATTTGGAGAAGCTTTCAAAATGTTGCAGGGGCGTTCGTGATGTGGGCGCTGTGGTGGGTCTGGGTGATTGCCGGCGTGCTGCTGGCGATTGTTGAAGTGCTGGTGCCCGGCTATATATTTTTGGGCTTTGCCATTGGCGCCGCCCTGACAGGTTTGCTCCTGCTGGTGGGCGGCTCCCTGGTGCTTTCGCTGCCACTACTCGTGCTGGTGTTTGCGCTGCTCTCCCTGGCCAGCTGGATCCTGCTGCGGCGTTGGGTCGGCGTACGCAAAGGCCAGGTCAAAGTCTGGGACAGCGATATTAACGACCCTTAAAGTCCGGCGCGCGTTTCTCCATAAAAGAAGCCATACCTTCTTTAAAATCGTCGGATTGAAACAGCGGCAGCAGCTGTAGAAACACGTGATGAACGTGATCGTTGAACGTCTCGTTCATGCCCATACGCATCATGCGTTTTGAGGCCTGTACCGCCATCGGCGCATTCTTGGCGATATTCGCTGCTATCTCTGCCGCTTGAGCATGAACTTCGTTGTTATTGACCACATGGGAAACCAAACCCATCTCTTCGCATTCCTTGGCCAGCAGAGTTTTGCCGGTGAAAATAATTTCAGATGCTTTTGACCAGCCGATCAGGCGAGGCAGAATCCAGGTGCCGCCAGACTCGGGGACGATGCCGCGCGCGGTGAAAGCTGCTGCCAGTTTGGCGCCGTCTGCCATGACGCGGATATCACACCCCAGCGCCAGATCCATGCCATAGCCTGCCGCAGATCCGTTGATAGCCGCAATAGTTGGTGTGTCGAGGTTGTGCAGGACGGTGGGTGGTGTGTTGCGCAGATCGAGGTTTCTGAACCCTCTCTTGCCTTCAGATATGTTGTCGGTGATATCGCTGCCGCGCAGGTCCAGCCCGGCACAGAAAAACTTGCCAGTACCGGTCACGACGATTGCACGCACATCGGTGTCTGCGTCTGCTTTAAGCAACAATTCGGAGAGATTATCAAGCATAGACCCATTGATCGTGTTCATTTGATCGGGTCGATTAAACGTGATGGTTGCCACATGATCGCTGACGTCGTACAGCATGTCTTCGCTGGACATAAAAGTTCCTCTACTAAATATGATTGGGTCGATTAAATCGCTTTGCGACAGTAATTCGCTGCCGCATGGCTTGCAAGTCTGGCTTGTTGCTACGAATGTCACAATTGCGAGGCAATTAGCGTGGCGAAGGTTGGAAACACCAACTAGATTAAATAAAAGGTTTTTGTGCAGTAGCAGATGGAACAGAATCAGCAGGGTTTAGTGGACTTACTTGAGATATATCACGCGCGACAGTTGCGCGATCAGATCATTGCGCAATTGCGGCGATTGCGTTCATCCACCGAGCACCTGCCTCTGCATGAACAAGCTCGACGCCGTGAGGTGCGAGGTTACTATGAGGCACTGTTGTTAACCGTGGCAGAACTTCAGCATCAGATGGGTGACGAGACGATTTAGGCTCGAGCGCTTATAACCAGTCTGGAATTTTCTTTTTTTCACACCGCCTCGCGGTATTCCCATTTTTCACTTTCGTGAAAGCGCATCATTAAGCCTGCTCTGAGCTTTTCCCTGGCGGCCATTCGCGTCATCTGATGCAAGCAGGTAGACTCACTGCGCGTGGACCAGTTCGTTAGCGCCAACGCTAAACCAACATCAGGAGCTGAATTTTGCCGTTAGAGGAATTGAGTACAGATTATCTTATCGTTGGCAGCGGCACGGTTGGAATGGCTTTTGCTGATGTCATCGTGCAGGAGTCTGACCTCGATATCATCATCGTAGATATGCACGGTCAGCCTGGCGGGCACTGGAACGATGCTTACCCGTTTGTCACGTTGCACCAGCCGTCATCTTTCTACGGAGTGAGCTCTCTGCCACTGGGGAATGATGGCCTGGCCCAGCAGGGTTTCAACGAAGGCCTGGGAGAACTAGCCACAGGCGCCGAAATAAATGCCTATTTTGAGCAGGTCATGCAGACAAAAATGCTGCCCTCCGGCCAGGTGCGCTATTTCCCCAAGTGCCGCTACACCGGCGATGGGCAATTTGAATCCATGTTGACCGGACAGAAATATCAGGTGACGGCTGACAAGCGAACCGTCGACACAACCTCGTTGAACACCGCAGTACCTTCGACCCATACGCCGAGCTTCACGATTGCCGAGGGTGTACGCTTCATGCCGCTCAACGATTTAACAAAAGTCACCAGTCCGCCCGAAGGCTTTGTCGTAGTTGGCGGTGGTAAAACCGGTGCGGATGCGTGCCTGTGGCTGTTAGAAAACGGTGTTGATCCTGGCTCGATAAGCTGGATTATGCCTCGGGATGCCTGGTGGCTTAATCGTGCCAATGTGCAGCCCCGGGAAGAATTTTTCTTCGCCACCATAGGAACTCAAGCAAATCAATTTGAAGCCGCGGCTAAAGCGACAAGCATGGACGACTTGTTTGATCGCTTGGCAGCCTGCGGCATGTTGCAGAGGCTGGATCCTGCAGTCCGTCCCAGCATGTTTCATGCGGCGATTCTCAGCGACAAAGAGCTGGCAGCACTGCAAACCATCAATAATGTGATCAGAATGGGGCGAGTGACAGAACTGGGGCTGCACGAGATTACGCTGGAAAAAGGCAGCATTCCTACGAGCCCGGAACACCTGCATGTTGATTGCTCGGCCAGCGCCATTCTTGGTCCCTCAATGGCTGAGATAAAACCGATTTTTCAGGAAGGCACAATCCTGCCGCAAACAATAAGGTCCTACCAACCTGCATTCAGTGCTGCAGCCATCGCGCACATCGAAATTGCGTACGATAATGACGAGATAAAAAATGAGTTGTGTCGTGTGGTGCCGCTGCCCAACCATGATAGAGACTGGGTACCCATGACATTAGTAAACATGGCAAATGCTAAGCGCTGGTCTGAAGAACCTGAACTCATGCAATGGCAGAAAGACAATCGCCTTAACGGTTTTTCTGCGTTGGCGGCCAGTGCGGAAGGCGACCCTGAAAAAATGGCGGTTGTACAGAAAATGTTCGCTAACATGATGCCAGCCGCAGTGAATCTGATGAAGCTCATGGATTCAAACGACTGATCTTTGCAAGGTTCCGGCAGATACCGAAAAACGCTTGCGTCATGCTCAGGTCATTTGTGGGTGAGCTAGTCTTCCACCTCTTCGATCTCAACGGACGGTTGTTGCTCACGCGGTTCTATTGTCGGGCCGTCAAACGGGTGAGGTTCTTTAGGTAGAAAGAAAGGACGCCAGTGTGTAATGGGTACGTTTTCGCGATGACCTTCGACCATGCGTATAAACTCGCCGTCATCGCTCAGAATCGCGTAACTCAAATTGCGATCTTCAGGTTTTTTTTGCGAGACGATGTAATCGCCATCTTTGTTGGTATAGGCGTAGACGTCCGCGTTTGTACTTGGTGCAAGAAACAGTAGCCCAAAAACCAGCAATAACACTCGCATGAGTTGCTCACATGTTTGTTCTCGAAGGATCTAAAATTGGCTTAAATAGGCTCGATCTGCAAGTAAAATCGCCTCACGCTATCCAGATCAGCCGATGGTAATACTCTGTGCGTATTTCCCGATCTGAGCTGTAACACCAAACTTTTTGTGTAGTTCCTGCACCAAGGTCTGCTGAGCGGACTGTTCGCCATGTACCAGTACAATGGGCGGCGTACCCTCGAAATGACCATACCATTTCAGCAGGTCAGCCTGATCGCCGTGTGCGGATAAACCCCCAACGGTATGAATGCTGGCACGCACCGGATACTCATCGCCCCATAGGTTTATCGTCTGCGCACCGTCCACAAGTCTTCGGCCCAGCGTGCCGTAAGCTTGAAAGCCGATGATGACAAGGTGAGTTTCCGCCCGTGAGATGTTTGTTTTCAGATGTTGTTTTATCCTGCCGCCAGTGCACATACCACTGCCGGCAACAATGATTGCCCCGGAGCGAATTCGATTAATTGCAATTGACTCCTCGGTAGTGCGGGTCAATAGAAGATTCGGCAAGCCAGGCGTGTCGCCGGCCCGATTAAACAGAGGCACATCGTATAAGTCCTGGAATTGTGCATAAGTCTCCGTAGACCGGATTGCCATTGGGCTGTCCAGAAACACTGTCCAGTTATCCAGGCCCCATTCCTCATAGTGCTGACTGAGCAGGTACAGCAGGTCCTGTGTGCGCCCAACCGCAAACGCAGGGATCAATATGTTGCCACCTCCCGCACGCGCAGCTTCAAACACTTCACCGAGTTCCGCCAGTGTGGATGCATACGCGCGATGTTGTCGGTCGCCGTAGGTGGATTCCATCAGGACCAGATCCGCAGATTCAATTAATGCTGGATCTCTCATCACCGGTGAATCCCGATAACCAAGATCACCGGAAAAAACAAGCTTCGACGTCTTACCGGCTTCCTCGTGCCACAATTCAACGATGGATGAGCCGAGTATGTGCCCGGCATCTGAGAAGCGTAACCTTACGCCGGGCAAAATCTCTTCAACGACACCGTACTGCGTGCCTTGGAACAGTTCGATGGCGCTCAGCGCATCATCCACGTCGTAAAGCGGCTCCACATATTCTTCGGTGTTTTTGCGTCGCTTATTTTCCCATTCAGCATCTTTTGTATGCAGGTAGGCCGAGTCTTGTAACATGATGTCACACAAAGCTTTGCAAGCTGGGTGGGTGTATATGGGGCCCGCATAGCCGCGTTTAACCAGTAACGGCACGCGGCCGGAATGATCGATATGCGCGTGAGAGATAATTACGGCATCCAGTTGCTCTATCGCAAAGGGAAAATCGTCCCAGTTTCGTTGTTCCTGTTCACGCCCCCCCTGGAATAATCCGCATTCCAGCAGAATTTTTTTTGTGCCGCACTCAATGAGATAACAGGATCCGGTAACTTCTTCCGCTGCACCGTAGATTGTTAATTTCAAGAACAGTTACCTTCCATGCTGCTAAAACCTCGTTTTCGATTTATTTTTTCTGATAGCCAAGGCCAGTGTAACTGAAGCTGCTTAAAGACAACCCGTCTGAATTATCTGAGCATAATTCAGTCCGGATTGAAAATTTGTCAGGGCATCCAATATGCACGTTTGTAGGCTGAGTATCGAATGTTCTGCTTTGTTCTGGTGGTCAATCGCATAGAAGTTACGGAATTCCACAATAGCGGTTTCGAGCCAAACTGTGAGAAAAAGATCTGGATATCTATTGAGTCCAAATGAGGGAGCCTGCAATGCACAGAGCGGCGCATTTTTTTGTTACCACTGCAGTGGTGTTTTTTATGGGCATGTTAACAACAGGCACAGCAGCTGCCGGGGTTATGGCCAAGTCGAATCAGTTCTGGTGGCCGGAGCAATTGAACCTGGAGCCGCTGCGTGCACACAGCACCAGCTCGAATCCTTACGGCGACGATTTTGATTACGCCCAGGCTTTCAACCAGCTCGACCTGACTGCGCTGAAAGCAGATGTAGAAAAAACCCTGACCGATTCTCAGGAGTGGTGGCCGGCAGACTGGGGTCACTACGGTGGTCTCATGATCCGTATGGCCTGGCACAGTGCTGGCACTTATCGTATCCATGATGGCCGTGGTGGCGCCGACGGTGGTCAGCAGCGCTTTGATCCGCTCAACAGCTGGCCTGACAATGTGAGCCTAGACAAGGCACGCCGTCTGCTGTGGCCGATCAAGCAGAAGTATGGGCGCAGTTTATCCTGGGCGGATCTCATGATTCTGGCAGGTAACGTATCGCTCGAATCCATGGGGTTCAAAACGCTGGGTTTTGCGGGCGGTCGTATCGACGACTGGGAGGCAGACCTGGTGTATTGGGGACCGGAAACCAAAATGCTCAGCAACGATAAACGTTACGAAGGTGGGGCGCTGGAAAAGCCGCTGGCCGCCGTGCAGATGGGCCTCATTTATGTGAATCCGGAGGGTCCGAATGGCAACAATGATCCTGTTTCTGCAGCTGCTGATATCCGCGAATCTTTCGGCCGAATGGCCATGAATGATGAAGAAATTGTTGCACTCATTGCTGGCGGGCACACCCTGGGCAAGGCGCATGGGGCAAGACCTGCGGATTGTCTTGAAGCCGAACCCGGTGCGGCGCCGGTTGAAAATCAGGGCCTCGGTTGGAAAAACAACTGCGGTAAAGGCAACGCTGAAGATACGATGACCAGCGGTCTGGAAGGCGCCTGGACGTCGACGCCGACTGCGTGGTCCATTCTGTATCTGGATAATCTTTTCCGCTTCGAGTGGCAACAGGTCAAGAGTCCAGCTGGTGCAACACAGTGGATTCCCGTGGATGAAGCCGCCGCTGGCATGGTGCCTGATGCCCATATCGAAGGTAAAAGAAACGCCCCTATCATGTTTACGACTGATCTGGCGCTGAAGGAAGATCCCGGGTTTCGAAAGATCGCGGAACGCTTCTGGAAAAATCCGAAAGCGTTCGACGAGGCCTTTGCGAAAGCCTGGTTCAAGCTCACCCATCGTGATCTGGGTCCACGCAGCCGTTATGTCGGCAGCGAAGTTCCAGACGATGTGTTTGTCTGGCAGGATCCTGTGCCCGAAGCTGATTACACCCTTATTAATGACCGCGATGCTGCCAGGCTTAAGAAACTGATTTTGAAATCAGGCCTGACCGTGCCGGAGCTGGTGCGCACGGCCTGGGCTTCAGCCTCTACCTATCGGGGTTCCGATATGCGCGGTGGCGCCAACGGCGCGCGTATCCGTCTTGCGCCGCAATCCGGCTGGGCCGCTAATAAGCCTGAAGAGCTGTCGCAGGTGTTAAAAACGCTGACCGGTATTCAGGCAGATTTCAACAGCTCTGCTGCCGGGGACAAACAGGTTTCTCTCGCGGATCTCATTGTGCTCGGTGGTGCAGCAGCCATTGAGCAGGCCGCCAAGGCGGGCGGTCACCAGGTTGGGGTGCCGTTTACACCAGGCCGCACGGATGCGTTAGCGGAGATGACCGATCAACGGTCTTTCGCAGTGCTGGAGCCCCATGCCGATGCTTTCCGCAATTACTATGCCGCGGAGGCTTACGCAGCACCGGCTGAGATGCTGGTTGAGAAGGCTGATCTACTGACCCTGACCATCCCCGAGATGACCGTGCTCCTTGGTGGCATGCGTGCACTGAACGCTAATACCGGTGGGGTGCATCACGGTGTATTGACTGACACGCCGGGCACCCTGACAAATGATTTCTTTGTCAATTTGCTCGACATGGCCACTACCTGGTCAAAAGCAGGTACACAAGGCCTGTATGAGGGCCGGGACCGTGCAACCAATGAGGTTAAGTGGAAGGCGACGACGGTAGATTTGATATTCGGCTCAAATTCCGAGCTGCGTGCTGTGGCAGAGGCTTATGCTGCGGAAGAAGATCTGTTTATCGAAGACTTCGTCTCCGCCTGGCACAAAGTCATGATGCTGGATCGTTTTGATGTGAATTGAGATCAGCGCAACACCGTGAAGGGTGATGTCGCGCGGAAACATAATGGTTGGCGATGATGAAACTAAGGCCGGCCAGGAATTTTCTCTTCACACACCGCGTAGCCTGCATCTGTTGGAATGCACACATACATGCCATCATCCCGCTTTTCGGTCCAGGGCAGAATCGGGATGACCGGCGTCGCCTGAGCAGCGGCAACAGATGCCTCTGGTGTTCGCGTGTTGGCGAGTCGTTCAATGTTCCGCAATGTGGGGAAGATGATGGTTTTGGTGCCCGCCTTGGCTTCATCCAGAGCGTCCTGCGGTTGGATCCAGACAGAATCAACAGATTCATAACCATCGTGCAAAGCAATTTGATCTTCAGGAGCTAACGCCAGGTAAAAGTGGGTATCAAAGCGCTTTGGCATGCCTTCCGGCGTAATCCAGTGCGCAAAGTGCACCAGGGTATCGCAGGCCAGGATTAACTGGTTGCTTTGCAGAAATTCAATCAGGCTCAACTCGCCACTATTCAGCGGCTCCCGATATTGATCCAGGGTGGCAACAAGTTCCGCGTTGACCAGTTCCTGACTGCCTTTTTCACGAGCCAGCAGCACGCCACACTCCTCAAACGCTTCGCGAATGGCGCTGACCTGAATGGCGCGCATATTTTGGTCACCATCCTGCCCGTTCAGCCAGGGCAACAGGTTCTCGTCGAAGTCCTGTGGATCTGCTTTGCCGCCCGGAAACACCAGGGCGCCGGAGGCGAAATCGATCTGATGGTGGCGTACCACCATAAAGACTTCCATGCCTTCCGGGTCCTGCCTGAGCAGCATAATGGTTGCTGATGGAATGGGAGGTGAAGCTTGTTTGTCTGTCATTGTATTTGTTCCGAAGCGGTAGATGATTAGCGGTTAGCAACCTTCTGGATAAAAGTGTCCATAGTCTGGAGTTTCTGTTTGTGGTCACCCATGGTGAAGTCGGGCACGATCAGTTCGTCTACCCCGGCTTCTGCGTATTCGGCCACCACATCTTTGACTTCGGCGGGTGTACCGATGATGTGTGGTTGCTGCATATTGGCTGCGCGCATTTTAGTAAGGAAACCCTCGTCGTCAGACATAAACAGCAGCGCAACAGCACTGCGCTGTATCTCCTGCGGGTTTCGTCCAATATCAGCGCAGTGTGCATCCAGTATCGACATTTTATGTCGCAAAATGGCAGGATCTCCCCACACATTCCACTCGTCAGCGTACTTGGCGGTTATTTTCAGAGTCACTTTCTCACCGCCGCCGCCAATCATCAGGGGTAGCGGAGACTGCACAGGTTTGGGTTCGCACGATGCATTATCCAGTTCGTAAAACTCGCCTTTGAAGCTGGCAGTGCCTGGTGCGTACAGAGCTTTGATCACCTGGCAGGCTTCGTCCAGGCGGGCAAGCCTTTCGTTGACGGTATAGAAGGGCAGGCCATACTGGCGGTGTTCATTTTCCTGCCAGCCGCTGCCGATGCCCAGTACAACGCGTCCGTTAGTAATGTGGTCAAGGGTTGCGGCCATTTTTGCCAATACGGCTGGGTGACGATAAGTATTGCCGGTCACCAGTGTGCCCAGGCGAACACGATGGGTTTGAGCACCCAGCGCAGCCAGAGTCACCCATGCTTCAGGCCAGGGCGCGGAAGTATCTTCGGCGTTAGGCATGAAATGGTCAGCGTACCAGACGCCATCCCAGTGGGTATCTTCCGCGTGTTTGGTCAGTGCCTGTACGTCGGTAAACGATTGACTCGGATTTGGCCAGAAACTAAAGCGCATGGAACACCCTCCCGATGGTGTGACTGGTATGTGAGTTGCGAAGATCGCGAGATTAACTCGGAGATGTTCGCTTATGTCATGGCATATGGCAAACTCGCTGGCCTGTGAATATTGCCTGTTTAACCATTGTGTTCCACCTTCACGGATGTCAATCCCTGAAGGACAAGCGTCAGCGCCTGGCGGGTCTGCGCGACCGCTTTGGTAAGCAGACCCAGGTGGCTGTGTGTGAATCTGCAGACGCGGACAGTTTGAGTCGCGCGCAGTGGTCTTTTGTCGCAACCGCCGGCGCGAAGAAGGTCATCGAAAAGATATTTGCAGACATCGAAACGTATGTAACGTCGAGTGTAGACGCTGAAGTGGTCGACATCCGTGTGCAATGGCTAAGTTGATCGGAAAGGTTCAGGCTTATGTGTTGTTACTGCCTGTCTTTTTCCTGCTTACCGCCTGTGATGCACCTGAATCAAACGGCGACCAGTACCTGCAACGCCTCAGTGAGGCGTTAGATCGCCCAGTCATCACTGCAGCAACCGAAACGCTGCAGTACCCGGCTCGCCGAAACCTGCTGCGGCCGATTCCCCCTCTGAATATCTCGGTTGCAGAATTTGCCCGCCTGCACGCTTGTGATATGGGGGGGTTGGTGGGCGCACGTAATGGCAGCCTGGCGCGCCTGGCATTCGACAGCCAGCGCCTGCTGTATGAATTAAGCTGGTTGCAGGCCGCTCGGGTCTGCATTGAGCAAGGCCAGGACTGGTTGGCGCCTCTGCTTGAGCAGAAGACCGCCAGCCTGCCAGACCTGCTCTGGAATGCAACTTTCGCGAGCGCAGAGATGAGTCAGGCCATGGGACAAAGTGCAGCGGCGGTGAACCACTCGAGCCAGGCTGATGAGCATTTCCGAATGTTGGCGGACTTGATTGACAGTGGGCTGCGGCAACACCTGCAACCCCTGGAACAACATTTTGAGAACACTCTGCGTCAGCTGATGCTGTCTGCGCGCATTGGCGAGCGGCGACATTACTGGTCAACCTTACGTGCCCAGCTGGACGCCGCGTCGGGTGCGTTAACGCGAAGGGAGCCGGCGGTATGTCTGTCAGGTCTGCCAAACGATCGTAGCCGACGTTTGCTGGCGGTCTTTCAGCGTTATTATGTCGGCTTGTGGCAAGTGGAATTTGCGCGCCTGCTCAGTGCAGATGAGTCCTGGCTGACGGCATTGGCACGCAGTGTGGATTTGCTCCAAACTGCAGTTCCGCTTGAGTTTTCAAGCTGGTACAACGTCACTTTGAACAGTCGTGAGATGGACAGCGAATGGCAGCGCACGAGACAGGCAGTGACTGATCATGTAAAAGCCTGGCAGGGTTTATTTGAGCAATGTGGTATTGATGTGGCGACCTTAAGAGGAACGACTTAAATGTCTTTGGTGATGGTTGTAATTGTGGCCGCGGGGGTATTTTTCTACGTCAAAGGGACTCGGGCTGCCCGTCAGCAGTGGCTGCAGAAAATTGACCTGCCTGGTCAGTGGCAGGCCCAGTATGACACCGCAGATAATGGAGAAACACGTACGCAAACGCTGTCTCTACAGGGTCAGCTTGATGCGGGCAACTTTGTTCTGCAGGCGGACGAAAACAGCTGGCGTGGGCAGTGGCAGTTGCGTGGTCATATGCTGCATTTACAGGGTGAAGGCCGTGCTCAAAAACTGGATCTGCACTTTTTTGGTCCGGGCAGCATAGGGTTAGAAGACACAACCGGTGTGCGAAGACTGTACACGCGAGAGCTTAACAATGTCGTGCCGCTGCGTGGTCCTGGCACCCCAAGTCAGCGGCAGCAGCCATGAGTTCGAGCAATGCCCAGCGTCGTCGAAAAAACTGGATTCTGATTGTTGCGGTGTTGGTCATCATGATAATGGGCACGTTGTCAGGCCAGCCTGATCGCCTGCCAACACCTTACTTTGATGTTGCCCGCCCCATGGTGATCGCTCATCAGGGCGGTAATCTGCTGCGTCCGGGAAATACTCTGCTGGCTTTTGATCATGCCATGGCTCTGGGCGTTGATGTGTTGGAGATGGATGTGCATCTCAGCGCTGATGATCAGCTGGTGGTGATTCATGATGCCACCGTCGAGCGGACCACAAATGGTCGAGGCGCGGTTAACGACATGAATCTGGCCGAGCTTCAATTGTTGGATGCGGGTTACAACTGGCCTTTTTCGGACACTGAATACCCTTACCGGGCACAAGGTGTTTTTATTCCTTCTTTTAAACAGGTGTTAGATCGCTATCCTGCACAACGTCTTGTGGTTGAGCTGAAAGAAGACAATCCCCGGCTCGCTCAGGCACTGTGCGATGCGCTGACCGCATCCGGGCGAGAAAGCCTGACCCTTGTGGCGTCATTCCACAAAGCTGCGATGAATCACTTTCGTGATGTTTGCCCGGCAACAGCCACCAGCGCTTCCAGCGACGAAGTGCGCTGGTTTGTCATTGCATCGAAGCTATACCTGGGAAACCTGTTCCATGCGCCAGCGCTTGCCTTGCAGGTGCCGAAAGAGCGGGACGGGATGCCACTGTTGTCAAAAGACTTTCTAGATAAGGCTGATGCAGTCAATCTACATGTCGATTATTGGACGCTGAACAGTGTGTCGGACCTGCGCAGCGCGATTGCAGCAGGTGCCCACGGCATCATTACGGATCGTCCGGATCTGATGCTGGATGAACTGGGCCGTTTATAGAGCTGGACTACTGAGGCGTATTGCGACGATCCGGGATGTCGGGATTACGCCGGGGAAGGGGATCTTCGAGCAACCGATCATCATTGCGGCGATCACTTTTTTTATCTCGCCGATCTTTGCGTCCATTGCGACGTTCAGGGCCATTGAATGCAGACATTTAGGTGCCTTCCGGAGCTAACTGAGTCGTAAAACTTGTGCAAAACAATAGCATATTCGGCTCGATCTCTCACCGTAGTTGCGTACAATGCGCGGCCTCAAAAGTTTACAAACGGCGCGGTTTACTGGTGGCAGCACAATCACCTCTCTCTCTTTTTGATCAGGTTCTGTCGCGCCTGTTGCTGCTTCTGCCAAGTCCAGAGGCGGTAGACTGGTCAACAACGCGTGCTGCGTTATGGCAGCGCGTGAAAGGCCATGGTGCATTTGTGGCCCATGGCCAGCTTGACACGATTTCGTTGGATGAACTTTTACATATAGATGATCAACGCGCGCAGCTGGTGCGTAATACCGAGCAGTTTCTGGCCGGTTTGCCAGCTAACAATGCCCTTTTGTGGGGTGCCCGGGGAACCGGAAAAAGTTCGCTGGTACATGCGCTGCTGAATAGTTTTGCAGGTGCGGGCCTGCGTCTTGTTGAGTTACACAAAGATAATCTTGGTGACTTGAGTCAAGTGGTTGCAGATGTCGCGGGTCAGCCTTATCGGTATATTATTTTCTGCGACGATCTGTCGTTTGATGCTGACGATGCCAGCTATAAGTCACTGAAAAGCGCCCTCGAAGGCTCGATATTTACAACGACGGACAATGTTCTGATTTATGCCACCTCGAACCGTCGGCATCTGGTGCCTGAGTACATGAGCGACAACCTGCAAACCCGGGTGGGTGATGCGGAACTGCACGAAAGCGAAGTGGTTGAAGAGAAAATATCACTGTCTGATCGTTTCGGACTGTGGCTTTCATTTTATCCGTTTCGCCAGGATGCGTATCTCCAGGTGGTCTCGCTGTGGGTCTCGCGGCTGGCGCAGCGGCACGGTATTGAACTTGATGCTGATGCCGAGGAATTGCGCGCGGAAGCGCTGCGTTGGGCGTTAGCACGTGGTGTGCGCAACGGTAGAACGGCGCAATATTTTGCCCGTCACTGGGTAGGGCAGAAGGGTCTGACAGGCTCCTCAATTCAATCAACTGATAATTAACCAACAAACTGATTAAGGAAACATAAAGTGAAACGTCTGGTTTTAATAACGATAGCACTGCTGCTATCTCCACTGGCCACCGCGGATGTGGTTTTACTGAAAAGTGGCGACAAAATGAGTGGCACCG